TGCAGATGTAACTGCACTTGAAGTAAGGGGTTGTAACATTACAAAATTTTACAATGATGGCAAACCATAGACATAAATTATTATACGTCATTAACTTGTGAATTGCGATAGCAAGTTACAAGTTGTTGGTATAGTGCAGATTATGCAAATGATAAGCAAATGAGGGGTCAGTCCATCATGAGTCATCTGTTAAGTGCTATTTCTGCTGACCAGTAAATAAAACATTAGAAATCAGTGCATGAGTAAATAGTGCCGGTGCATATCACTTTAGATATTTCATTTGTACAAGTGTTCCACTAAAACTGAAACTTTTATTGTTTGCTTCTCGGTCAGAGTTGATTGATAGTAAATTAGAAATAACAAACAGAACTTAGCATGAGCTCAAAATAAGCCAAACACGGTGTTCAACAGTGAGACAGAGGTGAAATTGATATCATTGATGAAAACTGCAAAGGGGAAAAGCCATAGCGGACTACCAAGGTAGACACAAACCAGAAGTGAACCGAGCAGGGGTGAGTACTCATGAGACTACTGTACCAGAGCTATCAATTGCGCTCTGCACTATCTGAGATTGTCTCACTAGTTTTTGGTTAAAACAATGGAATCATTTCTTTACAGGGATTTGTGACTGGAAGGCTGAACACCTCAGACTTGTTGAATAGGCTCGCTCGATATTTAAGCTTTTATAAACTTTATTATTAGGCCAGCGTTGGATGCTGTGAGAGATGTACAAAGTAGTAGCTGCTGTGAACTGACAGCCATTGAGTATGGGTGTTACGAAAACTAAGACCATCTATAGTGAGTGGCTCTTCATTTTGCTACCCTTGCCAGCTGTGGAAGCTTGAATTTCCAAAACATCATTAGAGATCGTGGTCCGGTCTTATAAGCAAGAAGTCAAGCAGTTACATGTATTTTTCCTGCCTAAACACACCTCTGGCCTTTCACCCTCTTGACACGTGTGTATTTACTTTGTCACCTTGTCACGCCATCACACAACATGAAACTGTAAATACGTTGGTGTGACTTCCTGGCAGTAAAAACTTGTTGATAAATTTCCTGAAATTCTACTAGCTGGTGAAATAACAGCACTCTACTGTCGTAAACACCAAACAATTTATTTTAGTGTAAATTTCAATCAGCTTAGAGCAGTGACATTCATTTTGCTTGAGACCCTATCAGACACAAATGTTAGTGGTGGAGAAACAGTTTCAATGGAAATAATCCAGGACTCTGATATCATTATATACATTTCATTTATAAGCTTACAAGAAGACCGAGAGCCACTTACATTGTACTATTCACAACAATTTCTCAGCAAAAATGCTTTGCCAAATGTCTCACTCAAGCATAAGAGCATTGTTTCAAGATTTGTGAATATGTCCTTAGTATTCTGTTCTGTCAGAAAGCCCTTAAGGTGGCTCCCTATAGTTTCATGATTGATATGTGTACTGATAAAATAAAATCAGCATCCTGTGATCGTCAGTGCCCAGCATCCAAAAGCGAATGCTGCTGTCATGTAATGGCAGTTATTTGGAAACTGGAAGACATGACAAGAAAGGGAGAGTTGAAAGAGTGCGACAATAGCACATGTACGTCAAAACCGCAACAATGAGGCAAAGGAGGAAAAAGAGAAGTTAACTGTTTACCGGTAATGACTACAAGTATTGTAAAACCAAGGCATGCCTCTGATGGGCCAGGTAAAAGAAAAAGGGGGATACATAGTCAATTCTATGATCCTAGACCGGTGAAGTCAAGAAAAATTGACC